CCCTGTTGCTTTCTGTCACATGTTCACCATATCAGAGCCAGTACTGGTGCCGCTGCCCAGTGGCAGGTAGAGTACTCATAATTTACTCAAGAAGAAGTACAATTACTCTATCTACTATATATTTAATATATATTACTGTGCAACAGGTTATTTATAGGGACTGCAGTTTGCTTTGCTTGTTGATCATCTGTAATTTAGCCTTTTCTGTTTAAAACAATTATTTTCCTTTTTAAATCTCCATGAATGTGTTGATAAAATCACTTTAAAATATCAGTTTGCTGCCAAGCCACTATGTTTGCTTGTCTCTGTTATTATGGACATGTAGCCCACCAAACCACTTACTTTGAAATAACACAGGCAGCCCATACAATCTGATTATTCCCAAAGCATCTATATAATCTTAACAATGCAAAGAATCATGTGACAGCAACACGGGAGAAACTCGTTGTTGAAGCAGGTAAACCTACATTCAGAGGAAGCTGTGCGTCAAGCGTAAAGCCCAACGCTTTTAACACGCCATTAATGGAAAGTGAAAGTAGTCACTTGTCGGTGTTAAAGAGTGACGCAAGGTGCTTTCCAGCAGGCCACCAGTACCATGGTGTGCTGGATTTCAGTTGTATTAGTAGAACAATAAAGCCTTAAACTGAAAAGGTATTTGCCTGATTTTCTAAATGTTTGCATCTGCCCAGCTCTGTGCTGTGAGAAGTGCCAGAGACCAGAGCTGATCGCGTAACTGCGCACAGCCTGGATGACAGCTAATTTCAGTTAATGAAGCAAAATGCAGATTACAGACTGGTGAAGTTATGAAGGTATGAATGAAAACTGTAGTGAAATAAAAAGTACATTACTGGCCCAAAGAAAATACTGAGTAAAGAGTAAATGTAGGCTACAGTTTTAAACCCACTCCTGCTGCTGGCGTCCCCAATACTGTCTTCAAGTAGGCTTTGAGTAACAGCAGCACAAAAGAAAAGTCTGTAGCCTAATATTGAGGCACTTTGCTTGCACCTGCCTCCAGCGAACAAGCAGACTAAACATGGTCAAGTAAATAACAACCAGACAGAACACAAACCAATACTTGGCAGACAATCATTGTGACAGCAACACGGGAGCAGCTCGTTGTCGAAGCAGGTAAACCTACATTCAGAAGAAGCTGTGTGTTGTGCTTAGAGGCCAACAGGACTGTTCTATCCACCCATGTTTCCCACCCCTGCTGCTGGCGTCCTCAGTACTGTCTTCAAGTAGGCTATAAGTAAGAAAAGAAGCCTAATATTGAGGTACTTTGCTGCACCTGCCTCCAGTGACCTTTTTTCCTCCCCTTAACTTTTCAGCAACAACTTTGTCTTCTGTCACGTTTTCTACAGGCCCACATGATTTTTGTCCTCGTTTCAACTGTTTATTTAGCCTATGTCTGATGCAGAGTGTATGATTGATTGACTAGTCACTCATAGTAAAGCGCCTTGGCTATGAGCCAACTCTGAAATTCTCTGGCAATTTCGGAGTTGGCTCATAGTGTGAGTGACTAGTCAATCAATCACATGTATAACGGCTCCTATGCGTAGGCTATGCTTACTGCTATGTATTGTCAGTCGTAGATCTCTTACTGTATTGATGCTTGTATGTTGCTCCTCAAATGTAAGTGGCTTTGGATAAAAGTGTCTGCCAAATCAGTAAATGAAAATGAAAAGTCGCCCATCATCTGGTTTTCATCAGTATCACTGAGACAGCCCTTCTCAGAGTCACTAATGAGCTCTTAATGAATGCTGATGCAGAATCAAGCCTTTTGCTTGGTGTCCTGTTTGACTGACGTGTTTTGAACGTATCACTAAGCTGGTCCAGTCGTGTTTTTATCATTTCAGAAATATTGCTAGAAGAAGATATATTTTAAATTCTAGAGATGCAGATGCATGTGTGGTCCATGCTTTGATTTCCTCTTGCCTGGATTATTGCAACAGCATCTTCTCTTATCAAAAAAACGTTGAAATGACTACAGACCAGAACCAAGAGGTACAATCACATCACACCTTTTTAGTCTCTTTACATCCCAGTCATTTAAGATCTTTAGCCAAGGGTCTCCTGTCTCTTCCTGAGTCAAGGCTAAAAAATGAACTGGGACAGAGCTTTTGCTATCAGGGTCCAGAGTCCTCTGGAATGACCCGCGAGAGGAAATTTGACCGTCTGAGTCAGTGTCTTTTCTAAAATCGTAAATCATCGTAAAGCATATCCTGAGTTTATCTGAGCCAGTTTTTTTATTTGCTTGTTATTATTTCTTATTTTGCCCTTCATGTATTTTATTATTCACTGTGGTATTTCATTTCATCTTGTGTCTCTGTAAAGCACTTTGGAATGTAAGTGCTCCATAAATGAAGATGTTTATTATTATGATTATGTTTATTGTTATTGTTAATAATGTGCAAGTCTTTGCAGTCCTAGCATAATTAATCATACAAATGGGGATAACATTGTAAGCTTCTGGACAGTCTCTTCTTGCAGGCATACATGGACCATCTCCACACAAATATGCCCAATTATAATACTGTCTGTTTCAGGCCCTTAATGTCTTCGGTGACCACTTGACCTTTTGTCTTGACTCTGGTGCTATAGTGCCCCAGGACACATGGACAGTGACTACACTGTTAAAGTGAGTGGATGCTGTGCGTATGGTGTTGTCTTACCGTGGTATTGGCTGTTGAAAGCCAGGTGAAATTTTCCTGATAGAGTTCTATTTGTTTCGTCAGGACATCGTATTTCCCAATCCTTTCAAATCGTCTGCAGAGTTCATCCTTTTTCCATATGATTAGATCATAACCATTTACAAAATCACCATTTTCGTCAAAGTAAAAAGTCTGGTTGTCAAGGTCGAACTTCACCTTCCTCAGTTCCTCAAGAAGCTGCCAAGCAAAGAACAGAATGTCAGTTAAACTGCTCCCTTTGGAGTTTGTCACAATTTTCAAAACTACTAAAAGAATTTTAATGGTGTGTTTATATAGAAGGCCTTGTGTTAGTAGCGCAAGTTTGACTGCTGAATTATTTGTGTTGACTCACATTACACCTTTTACTAACATATAGTGAACAAGCGAGCTATAATGGTTGGAGCACAAAACATTGTCCATATATACTATGAGTGATTTTGCCTATGTTGACTGCTGACTGCAGGGGAAACGGAAATGTTAAGGAAATTAGAACTGAAATTTATCCCAAAAAATAGAGCCCATGCACATAGACGGCAACAATAACGACAGTGGAGGTCGGAAACTCAGTGGCTCGCTGCTCCAGTTAATCCAGTTATTAATCCTAAAGTTGAAAAAACAATGATTTAAATTCTGGTGTTTATTCGTCCAGAAGCTCAACAGCTTTCTGTCAGCTAACAGCAGCTCAGTCCCTCCACCCCAACTAGCTCTCCCCACACTACACTCTGCAAAGCTCTGCGATACGTGTGAATTCTTTCGTTGAGTTTGCTTTATTTGCGTTGTCATGTCACCCGTTGCAAATTCAAGTCTCTCCACGTTTTTTATTGACTCTAATCCTGGCATGAGAAAAATTTTGCTTCGCTTTCTGTGTGGACACACAGTAAGGGAAGGAAACACACAGTACATTCTAATTCCTACTTAACATAAAGAGGGTACTGTAAACTTTCAAATTTGAATTTGTGCTCTCTCAATGTCAAGATCATTTAAATTCTTACCTTATATGGTGGGAAGTTAATTTCTCCCAAGCATGTGGAACTGCTGCAGTTTAGTAGCTTTTTGAGAGCATTTGCTACGGCCCACACGGCTACTCTGCTTAAGAAGACTTCACTGGTATCCAGAGCGCTCACAAGGTAGTCATCATTTTGTTCTTGGGGATCCTGGAACTTGCATGCGTTGGGAGATTTGATTTTCAGGAGTTCAGTTGAGGGACAATAGGAAGGGGGCTTGCTGGAGTAACATTCTGGGGTGCAGTTGAATCTCAGGTTCTTGTATTCTTCAATGAAGTTGTTGTATCCTCCTGGGGTTGCAGTAAGATTCTTGAGATAAGTATCAAATGATATATCCTTGCCTGCAACAAAGCTAAAGCCCAAGATGTCCCCAACCTTGTTTATGCCATCCATTTTGGCAAGGGACAAGCTCCTGGACCAGCCATCACTGGCAATCCAGGTCCTTGATGTGTTGGTCCTGATCATCTCCTTAAAGAGATCTTCGACCAGCTGTGTCTTGAGGATAAGCAGTACCACCTGGGCACTGGAGGAGCGGATCTGCTCAGCGACCTGCTGGATACGTTGCACGCTGTATGAATTATCAAGGTAATTAGGCAACACCTCCTGATAGGCCAAGCACACACTATTTGTCTCAGCATCTATGAGGAAGCTCTGGAAAGCTGCTCTTCCATATTCGTCATCCCCATACACCACCCCGACCCAGTCCCAGCCATAGTGATTCATCAGTGTGGCGACTGCTTTGGTCTGGTGCTTATCGCTGGGAACAGTGCGTAGAAAAACTGGGTAACGAAGCTTATCACTCAGTTCTGGTGAAGATGAGGTGCTGCTCAGCTGACAATGAGATAAAAATGTACCAGAAGAATTGAAACACACCAAAAATGAATCAGCTTTAATAATAATTTGTGAATAACAGACTATGAAAATACAGTCCTAGTATTTGCTATAGCACCCAAACGTCCCTTCAAATCCGCAAATTTCACCCATTTCACAACAAAATTAAGGGATACATTCAAACCTTAGTAGGATTAGTAATATTAAAATATTTACTTGTTTGAGGTCTTACCGGGAGTTAGATGAGAAAGTCACTAAAATCCAATCTCAGGGTTCAGTTTAACATCCAAGCAGATTGACTGGAAGTAGGGGCAAACAGCTAGCCTCAAATGCAACATATGCATACATATTCTACATCACACATTACCTGTACAGGACTTCTAAGGTGATGCTGATGTGTTGGGCTTGCTTGCTGTTGTACAGTAGAAGATTTACATGTGTAAATATGACAGATTTGGAGTTAGATGGAGCTAGGCTAACTGTTTTCCTCTTCCATCCATTCTGTTTATGCTAATCTGGGATGATGTCTGATACATGTCTTGGGCCTGTACTGAATGTATAGACTTGAAAATGAAATTGATCCTGCAACTCCCTGTAAGAAGCCAAACATATTTTCCAATATCTTGTAGTGTGTCTTGAACAAATGCAGGTTAAACATTAAAGCCTCCACAACTAATACATTATTACAAACCTCATTTATTATGTTAGTTATTTTTCCAAAATGCGATAAAACAAAAATCTGTGATTTGTTAATTCACGTGAACCTTTATTTAACTTTCAAAAGTACAAAGAGAAAGATTTTCATCATAGTTATACTGACCAGTGTCAAAATATAAAAAAGTTATATATAAGGGAACATTTCTGAATACAAGAATGCAAAGAATTTAGGTCTTTCAAAATAAGACATCTTATTGTGTAAAGGGTAAGGTCAGAAACCACTTTTGAATATGCGTGACCAAGCCCCCACTGCCTAAGAAACCGTCATGCTTCTGTGACAAATATAGCAACATGGTCTTGGATGTACTTTGGAAAACCGTTTATTTAACATGGTCTGCTGCCGCATCCAGAAAAGCAGCCTGAAACTGTACTACGCAAGGCGGAAGTCAGTTCAATTGTATGCAGAAACGCCGCCGAGTTCTCTGGGCCCACATTTCAACTTGTTTTCGGGGGAAACGTGCCAAAGATGGAAAAGCCCGTCCAGATTGTCATCAACAAAAGGTGCAAAAGCCAACATCTGGGATGGTATGGGGGTGCATCAGTGCCCACAGCCTCAGTGAGTTACATGTGTGTGAAGGTACCATTATCTCGAGGCATATATAGGAATTTTAGAGAGACATATGTTGCCATCAAGATGTGTCTTCCTGGGACACCCATGCTTATTACACCAGGACAACGGCATGTCTCATTCTGCACAGGCTACAACAATGTGGCTTCGTAGACGCAGAATATTTGTGCTTGACTGGCCTGCTGCTCGTCCAGATCTGTCTCCTATTGAAAATTATTGCGCAACATGTAGAAGAGAATCAGACAACGGGGACCACAGAGTTTTGAGCAGTGGAAATTTTGTATCAAGCAAGAATGGACAATAATTCCAACTGCAAAACTGGCACAATCAGTGTCTTCACTTTCCAAGAGATTAGAAAGTGTTAAAAAGGAAAGGTGATGTGACACAATGGTATTTTTCCAAATTTTGTTGTGTGTTGCAGGCATAAAATTCTAACTTTGTTTAAACATAGAAAATAAAATTACATTTGTGGTAAACTATTGAAAATATTTTCTTTGTACTTAAGTCATTTAAATAAAGGTACATGTGAATTAACAAATGAAGATTTGGGTTTTATTGCATTTTGGAAAATATCCCAACGTTACTGGAAATGGGTTTGTAAATTCCCACAATTAAGTCTATCAACCAGGGCATGAAACACCCTCTGTCTAGACTCTATTTGCTGATCAGAAATATTGTGACTCACTAGAGGAACCATGTACACATTCAGCAGTCTGGCCACAGCGATGGACACCTCCGAGTACAATGCTCCTAAAATAATCTTGACTCTGGGCCTGAAGTCAGTATAGTCGCACTGCATTTCGAGAGAACTGTTGACTGCGAGCATATGCCCCACATTCTGCAAAGCTTTGCTT